CAGTAGCGCCTCTGCAAAATATGGGAGGGCACTAAAGCTCATAAGGAGTTTAATTTTTAGTGTACCAAATAATTCACTTAAAATCTTAAATGAGTTCATGCTGAGMAGAAAACCCTTAGAAGTCGGAGCATTGGAAGGAAAGCTCAGAACCAAACTTTAATGATTATTTGACTAACCAGCCCTTCATTAGCTTATTTCTCTAATGAATTATTGAGGCACTGCATAGACATCTCAGAATACATTTTTAAAAGCACAACACTGGTCTTAGATTGCAAAAATATTATAGTGCTCSTGATATAATAATAATATTAGTAATAAGCACACAAAATGCTGCATAAACACTAATTAAACCTCAGTGTCCCCAAGCAGCAAGCACAGAAGGCAGGATGCTCAGCACATGTAGTGATTTGAGGTAAAGAGTATAATTAACACCAAATAAGAAAACCTTATTTCAAATACAGCTCGTGGTACTTGCGACTGCTCCGATTTGTGTTACAGCGGAGAGACAGACAAACGAAAATCTGCTCTCTGACCAAGTTTCCTATAGATGTATTGATCCCAAACAGCTGTGAGCAGGTTTAGGTTAGGGGAGGGAACAGAGTTATTCAAATCATCAAGGCTAAGACCTGACAAAAGTTATCCAAATCCTCTGGAAGCTGCCTCACAGGGTTGTGATGCCATCAGCAGTTTGTCACATGGGGGGCTCTTGGTCCATATGGAAGCAGCTGTGAGATCCTGTTACTGAACCCCAGATCCCATGAGGGGAGCAGAGACAGCGGGACCTGCCAGCCCTACCTGGGCTGCTCCGTGCAAAGGGAATGGATTTGCTCCTGGCAGTCCCATTCCTCACCAATGCCGAGTTCACCTTGACTGCTCGACAGAAAAGCTAAAGAAGATGAGTGGATTTGGACAGAATGTTAAAAAAAATCCAAACCACCCAGGAAGCTGAGGGTTAACAGCYCAAAGATAAAGCACAACATTCAGATGTAAAAGCTCTGTTGCAGCCACAGTCCAGGTCTATTAATAAAAGCTTCAGCTCCAGAGTGATGAAAAACCTGCCCTTTCAGTAATTTCTGTTCCAAGAGATGTTTGTAATGATGTAGTTTACAGCTTGAAGTTGTAATATTCTCTTCCACGCCATGCATTTGTCCGTCTCTGCCTCTTGCTTAATTCATTTTCTCTTTTCTTTTTTCACAATGTGACACAATTTTAGTTTAATAAAATGCCCCTACTTGCTTTTGTAGTGTCCATTCTATGGATCATTCCAGAAACCAAAATGATTTTGCAAAAACTCTCAGCAGTTTCTTGCTCTGTGACTGTCAGACAGCTCAGAAATACTTCGTGATGAGCTTCAACAGGCATGAAAGGAAAAAGAAAACGTGGTGGGTAATTTCTGCCTTTATTTGGTACCCAGGTATGGAGTGGAGTCCTTTGGTCACCTGGCTGGTGCCCTGCTGTCACCCACAGGGGGCTGCTCTCCCTGGGCATGGAGCAGGCTCCWGGGTGAGCCCAGGGAAAGCTCTTCTGTGCATCCCCTTCACCCATCAAAAAAGGCAGTTCACTCTCTGTAGCTTGACTAATCCTTCCTTTGCTGGGAATTCCAAAGCCAAGGCTATCCTGTGCCAGCTCCTGTGGTTTTGTGAGCGTTTTTGATCATATATTCTTCTCATGGAGATTGTAGCTGCTGAAATTTTATTGCCCGAATCCTCAATGTCGTTTGGAAAGAAAGAAAAAATTCCAGCCCTCGGGGCTGGAGAGAAAAGCTTAGGAAAATGAACCCTAAATGCCCTGGCATTCAGACCAATAAAGACAGCCTGGCATCAGTTGTCATGTAAATAACAAGCTTGTAAAACAAATACTGCACATTCCAGCGGTTCTGTTTGTTAAATCTGCTTCTCCTGCAGTCTGGGCTGGGACCTAGTGCCAGCCATTCCTGGCCAGCAGAGCACCAGCACCATCCTCCTCCTCTTCTTCCTCAGAACTGCCACTTTGGAAACAACTTTTCAATGCTGGGAGTGGCGTTTGGGGCTCTGAAGGTGAGCCAGATGCTTTTCAGCTCCGAGGGCTTTTCCTGGCGAGCAGCTCCCTGCTCTCTGCATGTCCCCTGGGCCCACCTGGACACAGGTAAGTGGATGCTTTGGCATGTGAGGCTGGATTTCCCGTTTACCTTCAAACACCAGGGATGGTAAATCTGACTCCATGCTAGTGACAATGACTTTTCCATTTTCTTTTCCATAAAATGTTACTATAAATATAGCCAAACTGCTTGGGTCACTTTTTCTGAAGTTTATGTTGAGCATGCCAGGGGTTAAGTGTGGTAAACCCTTATTTCCTGCCCAGAGCTGGTTTATTTTTGTAACACAGGAGTTTTCAGTAAGTTTGTACTGGAAAAGTGCTTGGCTAAGGCTTTTAGTGGTGAAAACAGACCAAAAATGCTTTGCTCAGTTTTTTGCTGGCATCGGTAGATGAAATGCTTTCCTCAGTTTTATGCTGCAAGCAAATACATATTGATAACTAAATTAACTCCTTGATTAATTAAAATACATCATACATTCTAGCAGACAGAAACAGAGCATTCATCCCTAGAAATCTTGATGTGAGAGGATGGTGGTTTTAATCTGTGATAAYCAGTGTGTGTGGACACATCCTGGTGGGAGGCTGGGCAGAACTGAGGCAGGAGGYTCAGCCAGAAACACAGTCTGGGGCACTGGTTTGTTTGGATGTGTCACCTTTAGAAGACACGTAAGAGAACTGAAAGAGAAAGCAGGGAGTCTGTCACACTTGCCCCAGGGTTTTGGGGTCCAAKTGCTATTTGGAGGAAGATCAGGGACTCAGTGTCCCCTCCATCTCCACTGGGCCTGAGGTTTTTGTGTATTTGCTGAGCAGAGAACTTCACTGGCAGCTGTTGGAGCTGTGTGTTCCTCATGCCCTCCCTCGGCTGCCAGCAGCACTTGTCCAAACTGCAGTTGTCTCCAAACCTTTTGTTCTTTTCTTCTAAACCATCTTTGTGTCCTTTGGTTTCAGGTGGCACTGCAGAGCAGGAGGGTTGGGACCTGCTGGCCATCCTTTCCAAAATTCCCAGTTCCCAGGGCTCTCATGGGGAGGAAGAGATTCCAGCTGGAAGCAGGAGGAGGAGGATGGCACAGGGCTGATGCTGTAAGTGTGTCACTACTGCTGTGTGCAGTACAAAGTGCCAGCGTTTATCCAGTAAACTGCCAGCCCACCCCTGTCACCTCTTGAATTCAGCATTCCCTGGGGCAGTGTGGGAAGGCAGCTGGCAGTGGGGGCAGCAGTTTGCTGCACAAACTTTACAACAGAACCTACCATGAACTGAAATTACTGCTGGTTCCGTTAACACCCCACTTACTCCATGCTCAAGGATTGAATCAGGTGGATGCAAATCTCCTCACATCCCTACCAATCTTCCTGTAAGGAAGCCCTGAGAGAACAGAAATTGTCCAGAATGCTGAACCTTTAGCACTATTTTTTTTCTTCTTTTCCAAAAGCTTGCTTAAATTTTAGTTTCACTTGGCCAGATTGCAGAAATCCAGATTGTGTCGTATTAAAACATCCCATGATTTATAATTGCTCAGAATTCCCACTGCGAGGATGTTCTGCAACAGTTATCCTTTCCCATCAAACTCAGAGAAAAGAAAGAAAGAAAGAAAGTAGAAGTTGTGGATTAGAACAAATGAAGACGCTTTTGAGTTCTGACGCAAAGCCTGCTTTTTTTCTTTGCCTGATAAAATTTCCAGAAAATTTTCAGAGTTTCATAAGAAAACAAAAGAAGGTATTCAACATTGCAAAGACTCAAATTTTCAATGGCATTCCGAATTCCAAAATTTTACGGCCAACTTCCAAGCCTGCCGGTGCGCGATTACCGAGGAAGCCGAAGAGCTGAACTCCGGCTGAAAAGCCGCGGTTTAAGCGCGATCGGGGCAGAAAACAGGATTTTTGGGCAGAAAACAGGATTTTTGGGCAGAAAACAGGATTTTAGGGCAGAAGCGGCTGCCCTGGCACGGAAAGGGCAAAGAGCAGCCGCTCCAAGCGCTCGGTGCCGCCTGCCGGGGCTGCACCCGCCGCATCCCCCGGCCCGGGGAGCGGGGAGGGCTCGGGGCTCGCTCCCGGTTGGGCACCCGGCGGGCAGAGCTGGTTTTTCGGGCACGAAACCGTTCTGCGAGTGCCATCCAGGGGACGAGAGCRGCACTTCAGCCGCTGCTGGGCGAGCTGAGGGCCGGGGAAGGCGGGGGTTAGAGCGTGGCTTGCTGGGGGTGTGGGTATAGGGGAGGAGGAACCAATGGAAGCGAAACGCGTGAAACTTTCCGAGCCACACCCCGAGCTCAGCCGGTGCGCAAGGCGGGGATACGGGCGGGATTAACAAATTGAGAAGCGCACGGAGTTTGTGAAGGGTCCAGAATCTCCACAGCACGTCTAAAATACTTAACTACACAACCACGGAATTCAGTTAGGTTTGGAAAGACCTCCTTTGAGTCCAACGTGGGACTGATCCCCACTTTGTCACCGAGATYAGAGCACTGAGCCTCACGTCCGGGCGACCCTAAAACACCTGCAGGAATGGTGACTCCGCCACCTCCTTGCAATGCTGGTGGTTATTTAGGTGGATGCGGTTTGTGTTCCCCCCTCCAGGAACCCCTCTGCTGTATCTGGGGGTGGAGAGCCGCCCCAGTGACATTCCGTCCCTGTCCCCGAGTTCTTCCCAAACCTCCGCACTTACGGCTCGGGAAAACGTCTCGGAGGGAGAACCCATCCTGTGCMCATCACCGGCTGGGGACCACCGAGTGTTTCAAAGGTGTTTGTAAAGGAGCAGGGAGAAAACACAATTTCCCCTGCTTTCTCTATAAATCAGTGGGGGAAAAAAAACCTAGTTTTAACAGCTTTAAGGGGTCCCGTGAGGATGCGGGGGTGGTGGCGGTGGGAGGGGGGTGGCCGTGCCCGGGCAGGGCTCGGGGGGCGGAGGGATCGAGGATCCCGGGGCTCACCTTGAGAATGAGCGGGTTACGCAGCATGCTGAGCCGGACCACCCCCAGCCGCTCGTTCTCCGTGCCCGGGCCCGCCTCGGCCAATGTCATCGGCCGCGTCCGGGATCCCCCTCTGCCGCCCGCCATGGCACGGGGGTGGTCGGTCCCGGTCCGGGGGTCTCTCGGCGGTGCCAGTAGCGATCCTGCTGCCATAGGGATCTCGGCAGACCCGGTGCCGGTCCCGGCGGCTCTGTCGGCGGTTGCGGTCCCGGTCCCGGCTCCGGTCCGGTACCGGCGCTGTCCCACCGAACTCCGGGCGCGTGTGGCGGCGTCCGTCTCCAGGCAACGGGCGGTGCGCCGCTCTGAGGGCTCCGGCCGGGGCCGTTTCCGCCGTGGGGAACGGATGATCCGGCGGCGGCGCGCGGGGGAACGGCGGCGGGGGCGGACACCGCATGGAGGTAACGGAGGGCCCGGCGGGCCCGGGAGGATGGAGGGGATTTGGGAAGGCTCCGGTGAGGTGCGGGTTATTCACACCCGGGACCGGGAGCGTTCAGGGCTTTGGGAAGGCTCCGGTGAGGTGCGGGTTACCCACACCCCGGGCCCGGGAGCGCAGAGGGGCTTTGGGAACGCTCCGGTGGGGCTGCGGGTTACCCACACCCCGGGAGGATGGAAGGGCCTTGGGAACGCTCCGGTGGGGTTGTGGGTTACCCACATTACCCACACCCCGGGGCCGGGAGCGTGGAAGGGCTTTGGGAAGGGTCCCGTGGGGGTGCGGGTTACCCACACCCCGGGGCCGCCGAGAGCTCTGTGGGTGCGCTGGGTGTGTTCCTCGGTAGCCTCAGAATGGCGCAGATGGGGCTGCGGGGCCGCACGCCGATTCTCAGCCCGGGTTTAGCGCGATTTGGGCCCTGGGTTGAGCTGTGGTGTGAGCGGCTCGGTGTCCGCAGAGCCATCGGGGCCTCTCGGTGGCGAGGAGGGGATGCCCGGTGCCGGCCAGCGCTGCGAACTGCCCTGAGGATGCGAAATTCAAGGCGCATGTTTCAAACGTGGCGGGGTTGTTATTATTCTCTATGTGCTGGATATAGAAAATGTGCTAGAAATGCGTCCTGCTTTTTCTGCGTGACTGTATTCTGCAGGAATTGCCCTGGCCTGGCAGGGTTGAGCTCGGCTTGGGCTCGGGCAGAGCCTGTTAGAAATTTCTAATCAGAGAATTTGGGGTTTAGTGCTGATGAGTTTCATGTTTCTTCGTTGCTTTGAACTTGTTGCTGAAAAGTGCCAAAAATTGAGTTGAATACAACAGCCTGACATTGCTTAGTTATTCCAAATCAAGGCTAATAGTTATTAAATTTATTGAAGTGTGTCTTTTGTYGTTGTAAGGAAGGCACTTTGGAGGCTGAGGGCAGCTGTGATGCACATCTGTTTGGCAAAGTTTTTCTTAGGCACTTTGTAAAACTAACTGGATTGAAAAAATAAGAGCCTAAGATAAAACTGAGTGTTTAAGGTTTTGGGTGGATTTTGTGTTTTTTCTTGGTATTTTGGGGGGTGGTGGTGATTTAATTTTTTSTGTCTATAACGGTACATAAATTACAACACTTCAATAAAACTCCCCTCTTTTATTTAAGAGAAAAAAATGAAAGGCAAAGCATGTGCAGATGGTTTTCAAGTCCAGGATTTTGCCAAGAAGAAGAAAAAGAAGAAGAGGAAACACAATGAGTACAACAATGAACATGAAAATGATGAAATTGTGGAAAATGCAGAGCTTCGCTGTGCTTCCCCGCTGCTGTTTGACAATCCAGCAGCAAAGGCTGGGGAGGCCAGGAAAAAGAAGAAAAAACTAAAGAAAGAGGATAAGGAACAGCAGGTTTTGATCGATAATTACTTTGTCAGTCTGGAACGTGAAGTTAGTAATGGAACTGGAGGGGCTTCTTCCCCATTGCTGTCTGAAGATGAAGCAGCAAAGAGTGGGGAGGGCAAGAAAAAGAARAAACTAAAGCAGCAGGGTGAGAAGCAGCAGGTTTTGATAGATAATTTCTGTGTAAATCTGGAACATGAAGTTAGTAATGGGCCTGGAGGGGCTGCTGCCCCAAAGAAGAAGAGGAAGCAGAAGGGTAACGAGAGCACTGACGAGCACAGCGATGTCGCTTGTGTCCCTGTGAACCAGCACATCAGCCAGGACTGCCAGGAGACTGATGCTGATTATGTTTATTTTAAAAAACCTAAAAAGAAAAAGAAACAGAAGCTGCCCGAAGCGGATGAGGTGCRTGAGCTGCCTCCCTCTGAGAAACACAGCAAGGGCAAAGAGAAATCCAAAAAGAAGGGGAAGAAGAGGAGAGAGAGCAGTGCCCAGGACGTGCAGGARGACACTGAGGGAGCAGCTGAGCAGGCACTGTTGTCATCCCCAGAGCAGAGCAGGAGGCACAGGGCATGTCCTTCACCTGCAGATGAGGATGGTGACTGTGATGCTGCTTCTACCATCAGTGAGGTCTCCATGGAGGTCCCTGCTGATTTTTCTACACCCAATAATGCAGCTGGTCGAGCTAAAAAGACTCCAACATATGCTAGAAAGGCAACTAAAAGCAGCGCTTTTGTCATGGAAGAAAGCTCTTCGGACTCTGATGTGATGTAAGTTTAGGTTTTGGTTGTGGGTTTTTTTCCTTCCTCTGCTCCCCAAAAATGTCCCTTTCACGTTGTTTGGGTCCCAGATTTTTCTTAATTCTGTTCTGTATGTGTTTTAAAGAAAAACTCTCACTTGGAGAGCATGGCAAGGTGTTGAGACCTACTTTAAAATCTCAGTTGTCTTGTGAGGATGCAATAACTGTTTTTAAGAAAATACTACTTCAGTGTAGGCTCTTTTCTCCTCTTTAAAAAGTGTAGCTATAGAAATAATTTACATGCAAACAAGTCACATTTTAAAAAGTGTAGGGGGAAGGAAAGGGATTTAATCTGTTAAATTTGACCTAGCAACTAGTAAGGGACAGCTTAAAAAATAATGTTCTGTGCAAATAAATGTCATGTAATTAGCTCTTGCTGCCTTTGAAGTGTCTAAACACACAATAGGAGCACTAGTAAGAGACAGATGGAATAAATCTTTGTGCCAGTGGTAGCAAGAGATGTTATTTYTTCAGTATGGCTGTATGTGAGAGTTTTGTGGATTTTAAAAACTTCAGAAAGCTCCTTGATTATTGTAAGTATGGAAATGTGGTAATAAATTACAATTATTAAATAATGTTAAAAGGTTGGAAATGCAAGGTGGTGGATGAGTGAAGTATATTTCTTGTTCTGTAATTAATATGTTCATTATTTTAATAGKAGAGATTATAGCAAAATCTCTGGTTTGGAGTTCTAAAGGTGTTATTTTATTTTATGCTTTTTAAAAATTTAATATCAGGACACCAGACCCCTTGGAATCAAATAAAAAGAATCAGCAGAATCAGCAGAACAGTTCCTTTGCTGAATTGGCAGCCTCTGATGAGCTCAGTCTGGATGATGAAGAGAGCCTGTACCCTGCCATGACTTCAATCATTGATTTGGATACTGCAAGACAGGAACTGGAAGAGTTTATTCCTCACGTGAGRAATATATCAGACAGTTCAATCAAGAAGATGGCTGGAAGAGACCTAATGAGGTTTAAAGAGTTTAAGAAACAAGGTGAGCWCCCTGAAATCCTGTTGCAAGCAAGRAYTGTGCAGCTGTGCTRATGTTTTGACAGAGGGAAAATTGTTGCTCCTGTCATGTCTGTTGCACCCACAGAATCTGGTTCACTTCATACCATTGATATATTTTCTGTTTTGTCGCATCCATTTCCACATTGGCAAATTTCAGTCCAACCTTGTGTGTAAATTGCTCATTCTCAGCTGGTTTTGTCTCTTTCAATTTTCTTTTTTACCYTTTGAATTTGTTGATACCTGAGCTAAAACCTGAGATGTACGAGAGGCTTTACCTGAGGTCTGACTTGTTTTTTTTTTTTTTTAACTTTTCTATATTTTAGGTATGGCTGTCAAGTTTGGCAGATTTACCCACAAGGAAAATATACAAATCCAGAAAAATGTCGACGAGTTCTTAGCACTCACTGGAATAGACAGTGCTGAAAAACTTCTGTTTACCTCGAGATATCCAGAAGATAAAGACACCATCCATCGTCTGAAAACAGAACATCATTTTTGTGAAAAAATCTGTGAGTATTTAAGTTCATTAACRAGGCTACAGATTTGTTCCTCTGTGATTCTTTCACATGATCCTTCTCTCTGCATCATCACATTTGCCTGATGCTGATTTCATTCCAGTCTGGGAATATTTGGCAGAAAGTTGTGTCAGTGTTCTGTGACTTGCAGTCACCTCTCGTGGGTGTTGCTGACCAAGGTTGTTGTGTGTTCCCAGGGATTGGTCTCTGTGGATCTTCTCTTCAGCAGAGCTCTTCCCTTGGTTTTTGCTGGATGCCCCCAGTGCCTGCTTTTCCCAGTTGAAATGTTCTGTCAGCAGAAGCCCAGGGTCATCTCAGCCTCCTGACTGGTGGCTGTCTCATGTCTCTTTTTTAATGGGAGTGTTCAATATGTCAGTTAAATTTTAATTGCTCCTGGATCAAATGCACAGCCAGTCCATGCAGTTTGTAGYTAGTGAGTAGCAAGAGGGAATGGAAAGAATCTGTTGTTGGCAGCACGGCCATGAAAATGTGTGGTGTTGGGTTTTGGGGTTTGTTTCATTTTGGCCTCGCCACTGTGAGAAATGTCTGTCAAAAATGATCCTTTACCTTCCAGCTGAGGGCATACCCCGACCCTGGAGACTGATATATTACCGAGCAAGGAAGATGTTTGACCCAAATAATTATAAAGGAAGGTAAGGGAATACTTCAGATGTGTTTCTGAATKCTAGTATCAGTCTGTGCTGATTATTTGTAAATTAAAAATGGATACAGATGAAGATCATCTCTCCCWTTTGTGCCAGTTACTTAACTGGTAGTTCATTTTCCCTTATTGACTCCTCTGTTCTAAAGTGTGACTTGAAGTGATGGTGAAACATTGATCACCTGGAGGGGTTACAGCTCTTTGAGGAGATTGAAATGGTTTTGAAATTGAAATTTGAGTTTACAGCTGAAGCTGTGCCCATTTCCCCAATCAGGTATACTGCRGAAGAAAAAGAACAATTAAAGAAGTATCAAGCTTTGCATGGCAATGATTGGAAGAAGATTTCTGAGTTGATGTCCCGTTCTAACCTTTCAGTTGCTATGAAATTCTCTGAAATCAAGTCAGGTATGTCATTTTAAGAAAAACAATTCATTTGGTGTGATGTAATTTAATGTAATCACCTCATGTAATGTAATCATCTAAACATGAAGAACAATGCCTTCAAGTGTGGGGGTTTCGATTAATTAATTAATTTGTAGTGGTGATCCTCTTCTTCAGACCACTGATTGCATTTTCATGTGGAAAAGATAAGAAAGATCTCAGAAAGAAAAGGGARAAGAAGCAGAACAAATGCAACTGTTTATTAAACAGAACTGACATCTAAATAAGATGCTTTCATGGGGAAGGCAGAAGGAATTTGGCAGCCAGGTTTAAGAAGATAAAAACTGGGGATCAGTTTACAGGCTGTTCTGTAGTGTTTAGGCTGAACTCTCAAATCTGGTATGCAGAAGAGTTTCTAGGAGGTGTGTTAAGAAGATGGTCCTGTACATAAAAATCAGACAAAGTGAAGCATTTGCTCTTTTACCTCTTTTTCCCTAATTATTGATGATAATTATGCCTTAACCTGGTGGGTTTTTAATTTTAGCTATTAATTACGGTCCTTGGACAAAGGAGGAGACCCAGAGGTTAATGAGTGCAATAAAGGAGGTGATGAAGAGAAAACTGAAAGCAGAAAATACAAGTTCCCTTTCCTCACTGGACCAGTCAAGCATGGATCTGTGGATTGACCGTGAGAAGCTGTACCAGCAATTACCATGGACTGAGATTGAAACCAAAGTGGGAAGTCGATATTGGAGGCAATGCAAACAGAAATGGTGAGGGCTTGGACTACACTGAGATAGTAAAATGTGTTCTGGGGTGTATTTATTCTGCAAAACCTGTGTTTTGTACCATGATGATCATTTGGTAGGACAGGTATGAGATTATAGAATACAAAGGAGGCACTCCAGATGTGTCTGAAACAAATAACTCTTTGCTAGCTGGGCTGAGTTTTCTTACTGTGATAGCAAAGCCTCTCTGTGACAACAGTGGTCTCTGAATGCTTGGAATTTCTTGAAATGATAGAAACCTCTGGTTTGTGTTTTCAAAGGAATTCAATTTTAACGAGCAAGATGAGCAGAGGACAGCCGTTATATAGAGGGACCAGTGGATTACAGGCCAAGATCAATCTTATTAAAAGGTACAATTCTGAGGCACTGGGATGTTTTTGTACCTCTCACTGTKCTGAGTTGTGTTTCTAAAAGCTTGCAGGATGAGAACAGCCTCCTTGCAGTTTGATACATGTTTTGCAATCATTCTTTCTTTGACAGAATGTCCTTTTATTTCTGACTGGGGGAGTTTGGAGCACTGAATTATGTCTTGAGTTCTGCCTGCAAACTGCTTCTGTTTTATATTCACAGGTTGTATGAAACAAAAGCAGAGGATACCAGTGAAGTAAACTGGGATGAACTCAGTAATGCTATTGGGTAAATCCTCTTTCCTTCTCTTTATGGATACAAAGGGTAATTAAAGCAGATGAATCAAAGTTCTGATACTTTTAAAATTAGAAGAAATGTTCTGTTTGGAAACATTACAGTTGCATATTCTGRCATAGTACTGAGCAGGAAGCCATGCCTGCAAGGTCTGAAACTCTTGACATTCCAGCTACTGGAGTGTTGTATATCTGTGCTTCCAAGTGTTAATCAACTCATGGGAAAAATTACTATTTGATATTATGGGATAATTATTATTTGGATTCCATCCTTTCTRCCTAAAGCTATGGATTGACTGGCATCACTCTCGAGAATGGGTAACACAGTAACAATTAAGCTCTGTGATAGTTCCTTGTAGTACTMATTCTTTGAACTCTTCTCTTTGCAGAGATGTCCCTGGAGCCTATGTTCAAACAAAATTTTACAGACTGAAAGTCTCCTGTGTCCCTTTATGGCGAAGAAAGACTTTTCCTGGTCAGTATGCCAACTGTTTTTATACACTCCATAAGCTTTGGCTTGAATCTTGGAGGGTGCATATTCTAGTTCAATTTTTTTTTTTCTCAGTTAGCTTTGCTCTCATTGGCTAAAATCTTGGGCTTAATATTTATTTTACTAAATGCTTTTTTTTTTATATAACTTTCAATGTCCTCTTTGTGCCAGTGCTTTAATACCTTGGCTTGAAAAGTTTTATAACTGTGCACTTTAATTTCTCTTTGCATGTTTGTGTTGTGTCTGAGCTCCCTGCAGCCACTGTGATCACTACAGAACCATAGAGAGATTTTGTTCATTTAACATTGAAAACATAATGTCTGTGTGTGAGATGCTATTCCTTTACACATCAAATTAAAACTACTTTTTTTTTTCCTCATAGAAGTTGTTGAGTATCTGTATGAAAAGAAGCTCCCAGAACTTGAAGAAAAGTTAAAAAAGCAGGAGGGGAAACACCGTAGTTTTGGCAATTCAACAGCCAGTCAGCTGCAGAAGGCTTTCCGACTCAGTGACATTTTTGATTCCAGTGAAGACAGTGATTAATTGAATCTCCTAAAAGCAGTGCCTAATTTGCATATTTAACTGCAAATGGGTCTGGTTGAAAGCGGGTGCAGCTCACCAACTAAAGGYACCCGGGCTGTTGAGTAATGGGAGAAGTCAGGATAGGCACCTCTGATTGTATTGTTTCATATTGAAGTCTAAGTTAAACAGAGCTTTTGTGCCATCTTTTATTATTTCAATTTACCTCTGGTTTTACAAGTTTTCATTCAAGCATCCAAGTTGCTTTCTAAATGTCTCAAAATACTGGTGTTTTCACTCCTTTGTTTTYTGTAGAGTTGAAAGCTGCTTTTTTCCCCTTTATGAATGATCTTGGTTTTCAGAACTTTATTTTTTTTAAATTATTTAAAATTCATGGGATTGGAAAAAGGCTTTCAGTTTGCTTTTATATCTCTATAATAACCAAGTGTTAAGACATCTCTGTTGATGAAACAGAACAACTTCTGAGTTGTTTTTTTTTTAACAGATATCTTACTCTTAAAAGCAACTGATTTTGTTTTTGATGTAGACTTACCCTTTCTCAACCCTTTGAGAGAAAAASGACTTTTGTCCATGACTATTCATCATCATCATTATGCTAACCAAAACAAGTAACTTAAAATGTTTTTATTAATATTTGGAATACAGAGGCAAAGCAGTGTGTATATATATACATATGCGTACATATATTTTTATTGTGCCAAGGAGAATTTCTACATTTTCATAAGAAAATTAAGAAGTAAGATGGAGGTGGTCCTTGTGTTTTGTATATTTTTAAATCACTGCCTGAAGTGATTGTTTGTAAATGGATTGAATGAATGTAAAAAACCCCAAAATATAAACAAGCCATACAAGTACTTTAAGATATTTTCCATATACTTTAGTGGACAATAGTGCAAGAAGACTCAATCCCTGCTTTTTGAGGGTCATTTTGATATTTGAGAATTTCCCTCTTCAGTTCTAATAATTACTGAAACTTCAACAGCTTGAAATAAAGAGGAGGGTTGGAAGGGTTGGAAGGTTATTTCTAGCAAGGAATTTTAAAGGAGAACTTTCCATATTTAACTGCGTCTGGCTTTAGTCTCTCTGAAGATAAAAAGCAGTGGGATTTTTGTGAGACAGGCAGGACTTACCCTGAAATCAGCCACTGCTTTTCAGGGTAAGTTTCCCAGCCAAAAGATGAAATACACGAGTTCCCTTCCACTTAGGTCTTTCACCTCTGTTGCTTTATGGGTTTGAAGCTGAAAAACTTGGATTTCTGAATCTGAAATTGTTTTTCAAGGGTTTTTTTCCTGGAAAATGGAGATGCTCTGAATTGTCAGCACGCAASAGCACAAATGATGCCTGGTTGTAGAGTTTGTACAGAGATCTTGCAGAAATAAACTTCTACCTCCATGATGAGATTTATTTTATTCCTTTCTTTAAAGGAAAACTGTTGTAGTTGAGTGAATGCATCTCACTCAAAAGAGAAGCAGCAGTGTTTTATGGAGGGAGAAGAATAATTTGACAGGGTTCAATAACTTYGATGGAATATAACACAGTTTTAACAGTGATTTACCAAGGTTCATTAAGTTTGATGGCAAAGTTCACCTTACTAATTACTCCATGGAAGAAACATGCAAAGGAAAATTGAGTTAAAATCAAGTTAGCGAATTCACAAAGAGTTTTGGAGTAACAAATAGGTTCAGAACGGACCTCCTTTAACTCCTCTGCAGCACAGTCTGGGTGCAACTGGATTCAGGCTTAGTCACACACCTCATCAGTGGTTTATATATTGAAGTCTATAATTAACACTGAGTAGCCCCATGACTCAGTGATATTTCATAAATACTAATTCAGCTGCTCTCAGTCGCCTACCAAGGATCTGTTGTAAGATATCCCAAACTTTGAGAAAGTTTCCCTACTCCAGGGCCGTCCCCTGGCCTGCAGTCCAGCTGCAATTCAGAGCTATTAGGGTCAAATTGTCTGTTAGCCGGCAGTATAGATAAGATAAATGCCTTTGTTTTAGCTCTGCTTCATTCTCCACTCTCATTATCTTGCATGTTGGGACTTCACAACCACCTTTCAAAATATTTTTCTGAAGCACTTTCACTCCCTTGGCCATGAGYCAGGAGCATTCCAGCTCACAGGGTCACCTCAGGGCATGAGTTCCTATTGCTCCATCCCAAAAACTACCCAAGGAAAACTCTTGCTGATACTTGTTAAAAGCAGTTTCTCTGCTAAATATGAGCAAGCCAGGGCTGAAATTGTAAACTTGGAGCCATCACTGCACTGGCTGCTTTGAGGAAACACAAACCTGAGGAAAAAGAGGCTTTGTCCATCTCCCTGCAGCCCAGGGAATGGAGTAAGGAAATTCCATCCCTTCATATTTTTGGGTAAAGCATAATCTGTTTGCACAGGGGCAAATAATTTTGTTTGTTGATTATTTCCCAGGTGAAGAATGGCCCAAGGAAGCAGCTTTTTCCTTTGCCATGCTTTTACCCAGGCCCACGACAGTATAGGCACAATGGAGGTAGTTCTTTCATGTGGGTATTTTAATATTATTGCCAACAGAGCAAACTCTGCTGAGCTTCTTAAAAAAAAACAAACAGAGGCTCCACAGAATGATGAAGGAAATAACGTTGACAAAGCTTTGTGTATCAGACTGCATTATAAATAAGAGCATGACAGATCCTTCAGGTGTAAAAAGCACTTTGAAGCCCMYAAAAACTTGGGTTTTTCAAGCAGAYGTGTCGCTTCAAGCATTTCCGTGGCATGTTCATGGCCTGAGCGGTGTTACAGCACAAAACTCTGGGCTGTGGGGTGTTGTCAAAGCCGAAAACAGACGAGTTCCAAGGGCGTGTTTGCAGCGTTTCAGAGTTGAGGAGTGTGGCAGCAGCTGAAGATCAAAGGGGGATGTGCTTTTTCCACCCCCCTCTCCTGTAAGGTTTTCACCAAGGAGGAAGGTGGGGAATGGAGAGCGATCTCCGCCGGTTTCCTCATTGTCCCTCAGACTCAATCAGAGGCACAGACCTCGAGTTTGGTGGTTTTACCTCCCAGACACCGGGTCCAGGTGTGAGCAGGGAGCAGCCCCTCTCCTGCCCGCTGTGGGATGTGCAGGAAGAGGCACGGGAGCTGGATATGAGCGGCTTCCATTGCATCAGAAACTTCCCCCGGCGTCGCCACACGCGGCAGTGGTGCCCGCCCCGCTCTCGGGCAGAGCTTTAAGCTGGGACTGTATTATATCAGAGCTCCCACAGCACTCCCGTTCACCGCCSTGCCTCAGTTTCCCCGCACGGGCCCTTTAAGGCTCCTCCCGCGGGAGGCGGCGAGCGCCCACTTCCGGCCGCGCCCGGAAGCGCGGGTGGCGCCGCGGCCTCAGGGCGGCTCCGGGAGGGCCGGGCCGGGCCGGGCGGACCGAGGGAGCCCCGGGAGCGGCGTGAGGTGAGCGGGGAGCGCAGCGAGCAACGGGCAGAGTGACTGCTCGCCGGCCCGCCCGGCACCGTGGTGGAGCTTGTGCCGCCGCCGCCCAGCCCGCGCTKCTCCCGGGATAGGCTTTGTGTCGGTCCCTCACGCCGCCTCAGGCCGGTCCCGCTTGGCGGGAAGGGTTGGAGGGCACCGGGCAGGACGGCCGAGGCGAAGGGAGCGCTCCGGTGGAGCTGTCGGGGCGCACGGGGCGCTCCAGGGGTTGGGGTTCGTGTTGGGGTTGGGGTCGGAATTGGGGTGGCGGCGGGATTGGGATTGCGGTGGGGTCGGGATTGTGGTGGGGTCGGGACCGGCACCGGGGCGGCTGCGGCGGCTCCAACCGCGAAACCGAAAGAGTTTTCGGTGCTCGGGCGTTCCGTTCGCGGTTGCCGAGGCTCCGCAGCCGGCGCAGGTTGTCGGTAGCAGCGTTACAGGGCACTGTGCTGCTCACACTTGGGGTTCTTGTGCCCTCCTACGCTCTTCTGGGCGATTTCCTCGCTTAACGTGCAGAGGTAAATATTTACGCCTTTTSTAAATGAAAAGCGAGGGAAACATTGTCTTCTCCGCATTTAAATGGCAAGAAGGGATTCTCTTGCAAATCGTCCTTATCACTTAATGAAGTGCATTAATGCAACTATGAATCTAAATACCAAAGCAATTCTTAAGTGTGAGCTGAAGCGACTTCTGCTGATCTGTTATCTGGAAGGATTTTATAGCAGGTGAGGGTTGGCCTTTTCTCCCAGACACAGAGTGACTGGAGACAACAGACCCTCAAGCTGTGCCAGGGAAGGTTCAGGTTGGGCATYAGGAGGAGTTCCATCACTGAAAGGATTGCTGAATATTGAAATGGGCTGCCCAGAGCGGTGGTGGGGTCACCATCTCTGGAGGTGTTCAACTGGACACAGCACTCAGYKCTCTGATCTGGGTGACAAGGTGGTGTTTGGTCACAGGTTGGATTTGGTTATCTCAGAGCTCTGTCTTTTTTAGTCGGACTGATTTCGTGATTCAGTGGTTTGATTTCTGTTTTGCTCTAGATCTTTGAAATACCACCAAGACTTGGTCACCAGGGGGTGGATTGCTGAGGATACGGCTCTGCCCTCTGCACTCAGGACATGTATGGCTGAAGGGCTCAGCCCCTTCCCTGGCTGCAGGGCAGCGCTGTTCTCCTTCCCACCATGTGACCTGGCACACCTGCACAGCAAATAGCTCCCTTTTTCAAAGGTAAATGCCACAATTGTCGGGTTTTCCCAGTGCATGTGCTTGTATGAGGAAACTTATGGCTTGACTTTATCTAGCTTTGTTGTGCTGAATAAAAGTAGTTACCATCTTTCTTTTTAAACAGTTGCTTCAAGAGTTCATGCTTTTGCATTCTTCCTGTATTTGAAGGATAGGAAGGAAGCTGGAGAAGTACTCTTCATCAGGGACTGTAGTGATAGGACAAGGGGGAGTGGATTCAAATTGGCAGAGGGCAGTTTAGGTTGGATATTGGGAGAAAGTTTTCCTCTGTGAGGGTGGTGAGGCCCTGGCACACGTTGCCCAGAGAAGCTGTGGCTTCCTCATCCCTGGAAGTGTCCAAGACCAGATTGGACAGGGCTCGGAGCAACCTGGGATGGTGGAAGATGTCCCTGCCCATGGCAGGGAGTGGAATGAAATGATCCTCAAGGTCCGTCTGTTCCAAACCAAATCATTCTGTGATTCCAGTGTGCTGTTGAATTTTTCAGACTAGCAGGATCGGAGCTTACTCTTTTGCTGCTTAGTGAAGAATTGTTTTCAGAGGAAAGCAATCTGTGGTGAGAATTTTAGCATGCTTTCTAGCTGTAAAAATAACAGAGACAGGAAAGTTCTGCATAAATATCCATTGGTTGTGACAACAGGGATTTGTTGACCTATAAATTTTAGCAGGAGATTAAGGAAAAAAGCAAATTAAACTTTGTGCCACTAGACCTAGTTTCCAGAAACACCAGTAAAATAATATAAAGAACTTTGCATTGTAGTTGTTGAAACTGTGCAGTGTGTGAGTAAAGAGATGTGTTTTTGGTTTGTAAAACACATTTTCATACTTTTTTTGGTAGTTTGTATATTTGRCTTCAGTGCTTTACCTTTACCATTTGCTATTCCACAGGCATTTTTTGTGCGATGTTCCTTTAAGGCTTTAATTGTTTAATTGCATGCACCTGTATCTTGTAAGACACCTGCGTGGAGGCTGCTAACGAGTAACTGAAATCCTGATCCTCACCACACTTGAAAATTGGGTCCTTTTGTAGCTGAAAGGAAATATTTTACTCCTTGAAYGCTTTTGGACCTCAATTCCTGCTCCTTTGCACCCACAGAATGAGCACATGCCGATGGTGCACGCAGAGTGGTGCTGACAGCACCGATTTCCTGAAGCACTATGCTACTCAAAGGCTGTCCCAGGAAGATTTTGAAGGATCCAATGATGATCTCTGTTACTGCCTGGAGTGTGTGGTTGAATACCACAAAGCGAGGGAAGAATGTCCAAGGTTGCATAAGGTAATTAAGATTAATTAAAAGGCTTCTCTGGCCCAGCCTCAGTATAGGGGGAGTTTTAGGTGGGGGATTGTGTTTTATTGGGTATAGGAATAGGTTGTGTTGGTTTTTAACTGTTTTGGGGTTTTTCATGTGGAGTTGTAAACTTCTGGTTGTAAAATGGAGACCCTCTTATTTTGCATCTATTCAAGTTGAGAAAAACTAGAACAGTAGTTGCAAGTAGCTGACTAGACAATGTAGCTTGGACTTGTTTCATGCTGTAATGGTTTGTCGTCTGAAACAAAGAACATCTGCCAGACTGRCAGTTCATTTCTTTAATGTATTTTMTCTTTTCCGCTGGTTTCTCTTCAGCTTTTGGGTTGTTCCTGTTTTTGTTTGCTTTCACTTCCCATTTGTAATTTTCTCCTGTTTGAATTTCAGAGATCAGACTTTGCAAGACTGTGCAATTAATCAAAAAAATTTAAAACTCTTTTATAATCCCTTCTCAGTAGTATACAGTTTTATATTTTGGAAAGCTTATTTTCCYTTTCTGTGTTGATGTAAAATACGTATTTGAAGCTAATTGATCACAATACAGATGTCTAAAAGATTGCTCTTTAGACTGGTCAGCTATGTTTCTCTGGGGTACARTCTCATGTGACTGGAAATAAGAGAAGTGTCAGGACCTACTGCAAGTTCCCAATGTGCCCATTAACTGCAGGGAATAAACTTGGTGTCTWATTGAGGTTTGGATCAGTTACTTAAGATGAGTAATGTTAAGTGTATGAATCTCTACAWATATCCAGCAAATCTGTCTCTTTGCATTATTTATATTCTTTTCCTTCTACTAGTTGCAAAAGCTGTAGGAAAGTAAGATTTTATAATTGCTTTTCACATCTTCCTAAATATGATCTTTTTCTATATCGTATCATATATTGGCCAGTGGAACAACACATTGTCACTAACTTATGGCCTGAAATAAGTTTTGGAATGAATATGAATATYAAACAAAATTATGAAATTGCTTCTGGTTTGCAGGCTACTCTTCTAAAAATGATTTTATAGTCTTAACTCTAAAGTGAGAGATTTGTGATTTGCATAATTGAATTCCATTTCAAAGCTTTATTGTTCTGGACCATTCATAGTAAAAAACTTTTCAAAATGAAAAGTTTTGAGAGTGTAAGATTTCTATATGTGATAATAAATGTCCTTAATCACTTTACAAGTACACTTTGATTTTTGGTTTTCCCCACTGAATAGGATTTGTGGGACTTGGAAACCTCCCGCCTTGTTGCCCACATGGAGAAATCCATGCATGAAGAAATGGGAGAAGATGATGAGTTGTTCCTGGTAGATGAGAATGGGGAGACACGTCTGTCTGGTTATTTGGGCCCAAATTTTGAGAACAACCTGCGAGTGCCCCTGCTGGAAATACTGAAATACCCATATCTGCTACTGCATGAGAAAGTCAGTACGTATCTGATTGTATCTCCTTGGAGGGGGATGGTGGTGTCCATGCTGAAGGAGGTGAAAATAAATAGCAGTTAAACCTGAGTGTCAATGTGTATATTTATTTTGATACTAAATTATTTTCTTTATGAGCCTGCAGATTAGTCTTTACTATGTGTCTTACTTTTTTAGGTGAGCTGTGTGTAGAAGTGCTCTGTAGAATGGAACTAAGTCATGACTCCTTTCAGGTCTTTGAGAAATACCCAGGAATTTATCTCTTTTTGGTACACCCAAATGAGGTGGTAAGTTCCTTTTTCTGTTTTGCTGAATTCCAATGAATCCTAGATATGTACAGCATGTTAATGCTGAAGGGAGATTTCTAACTTTGCATGATCTCAGAAAAGCCTGTGTGGTGCATTTATCTGTAAATAAAACTTGACATCTATTATAGTATGCAGTTCTCTCCTTAGAAAATCTTGGTCAATAATATRTAAATAACATAAAATTAGTACAAACCAAGTGCTACACTGTTGTTCATGAGTCCCTGGGAATTTACTTTGTAAGTATTACCCTTGATTTTAGCTTCCTTGTCACCAACATCATCTTGTAGGCATAGCAAGACCGTGTCTGAGATTATTTTGAAGACAAATTTTTAATTATTCTATTAGCAAAAATATGCCTTTGTCCCATTTGTAATAATAATGCTTCCTATAACAGAATTGTGGTTTTTTTATTAATATGTAACTTTTTATTTCAATCCTTAGATTCGTCGATGGGCCATCCTAACAGCAAGGAATTTAGGGAAGGTTGACAGGGATGATTACTATGATTTAGAGGAAGTGCTCACTTGTTTGTTCAAAGTTATTGAGTTGGGGCTTTTTGAGAATCCAGATATTTACAGCTCTTCAATGTTTGAAAAGGGTAAACTCATCCTTCTGCCAGCTCATTTGTATGATACATCCAACTACAAGAACTATTGGCTGGGTGAGTACTTGTGATCAGAAATGAATTTGTGTCATCTCCCACTTGTAAGCATATTCTTTCAAATCAGAGCTCTACAATTTCATAGGTGCTATGTATTTTTCAAGTATGCAGACGAATTGCTCCCTTTTTTTTTTCTGTAGGAATTTGCATGTTGCTGTCGGTGCTGGAAGAACAAGCTATGGACTCTTTGTTACTGGGCCCAGCCAAACAAAATGATTTCATGCAGTCCATCCTTCACACTATGGAGAAAGAAGCAGATGGTAACTAATTTTGATACTGAGATTAAGACAATTCATAGCCTATTTTTAATCTTTACCATGGCAGAACCTGGGAATGGCCTGTGAGCTCARGACCAGGRYTACCTCTTAAATAAGCAAATTTTCRTAAACTTGTTTATTAAGGATATGGTATTTTCTTACATGAAGGAGGAAAAACACGCTTGAAAGAAAAATGCTTCTATTATAAACATGAAATATAAATGAGCTGTGTAARTAAAAGTAGAAATAGCTGTATAAGTTGGGCTACTACTTAGMACAGCYCTGCAAAAATCWGTGKGAAAGAATCAGTTTCATAGAGTTGAGAAATATCAGCATTATTTAGTATTAGTAATAAGTGTGCAGGTTCCTGTTGATTTAAGACTACAAAAGGAGCAGTGTCTCTGTACAGATAAGGGAACTTGACTTTTTTTATTATTTTCTCAGGTTAGAAAGTATAGTTGTAACTTACTGGAATGCTTCTTTTTATATTARTATTTTAGAAAAATCAATGAAAACYGGCTRCTTTCAGTTTCAGCTTAGCCTAAGGGTGTCCAGGACTTGAATTTCAACCCTCTTTCCCTGTTATTCTTGTGTTTCAGATGATTCCACTGAYCCTTTCTGGCCTGCCCTGCACTGTTTCATGGTTATTTTGGATCAGCTCGGATCTAAAGTTTGGGGTCAGCTCATTGATCCTGTCCAAGCCTTTCAAACAATAATCAACAGTGTGAGCTACAACAATGAAATCAAAAATATTCGCTGTAGCTTTAGGAGGTCAGTTCTTGTCAGTGCTGCTGTAGCTACTGTTGGGGGAGGGAGGTAGCAATTAAAAAAATCCATGTTTCCAACTTCATGCAAAGAAAAGTTGAAGTAAGTTCCCTAAAAGTGTGAGGTTCTTTCAAAAAATACATGCTTACTTCTTTTTGGCAACACTGATGTCTGTGTTAAACTTGCTAGGATTTTTTTTTCCTTTATTGGGAAGACTGTTAACTATTCAGTGCTTATGTAGTGCTGCACCCAACTTGCACTGAAGGTTAATGAAGATTATCTTGTCTGAGACTTGGTAAATTTGTGGKAATTCCTGAATTCTCAGTAGATTCTGGGCATTTATTCTAGGTAGGTAAATCCATGACTCAATAGAAAGATTTTTCCCAAGCTCTTATGAGCTGGGTAAAACAAACTCTACACTTTTAAATATGGTACCTTTTCATKGTTTTATTACTAACAAGTTCTAATGGTCATTTGGTTGGTATCTGAAGAGCAGCATCTGTCTTGGGTTTCTTTGCGTTTTAGTTGTGTGAGTCTAATGATTTGTTTCTTTTTAGGTCAAAATCTGAACCAGAGTCAGACTACAGTGATGACATGATTTCTTGCAGTCAGATTGTGTATAATTATAACACAGAAAAGCCTCAAAAGGTATTWAACCAGTGTTTTATTTTCCTGTTCTTTGAAGTGTGGTCACTGAATGGCATTGTCAAGAATAAACATTTTCGAGTGTGTTTGTCTCTTGATGTTGAAGAGTTGTATTTATGAAATATCTTTTAAGGGCTTTAAATTTATAGTTGATTATCTGAGGTTAAATAATGTCAGCATGATAGTGTCTTTGAATAGTTCCCAATGATTTTTAAAGTAACTAGTACTGCATAGTGATTTCATGTGTTACACTTTAGAAATTAGTTCCCTATACATCTCTGTGCTCTATATTTTTTGCTCTTTTTAATGATTTTTATGGGTTATAAGAAATGTTACCATTTAATATATATATATATGAAAGAGAGTAACCTTTATGTCTATAAAATGCTGCCATATTAACCTGTGTTGGTGTGCATGTCACTGAGGATGTTGTGTGGTGAATGTATTTTTCAGGACACTGGCTGGAAGGCTGCCATTTGCCCAGAGTACTGCCCCAACATGTATGAAGATATGCAGACCCTGGCTAACATGCTTCAGTCTGACATTGGCAGAGACATGCGTGTCCATCACAGCACATTCCTCTGGTTCATCCCTTTTGTCCAGTCCCTCATGGATCTCAAGGACTTGGGTGTAGCWTACATAGTAGAGGTCATCCACTACCTCTGCTCGGAAATCAAAGATATCCTCATCGAAAGAATCCAGCAGTGCGACAAAATCTCCGAGTTCTTCCTCCTCATCTTGGTGTCCATCGTTGAACTACACAGAAATAAGAATTGCCTGCATTTGCTGTGGATCAGCTCCCAGGAGTGGGTGGAGGCAGTGGTGAGGTGTGCCACCCTTCCAAGCAGAGCCTTCACGCGGTGCAGCGAGAAGGCGCTGGGGCAGTGTGTGAAGGGCTCGGCAGCAGGATCTTCCCAAGCACCCAGCTCGGTGCAGCATGCCTGCGTGCAGCTCATCCGCAGCCTGCTCAAGGAGGGCTACCAGATCGGCCAGCACGCCCTGTGCAAGCAGTACCTGGACAAGCTCAGCCYCCTGCGGGGAAATCGAGCTATGGGATGGCAGCTGAGCAGCCAGGAAACGCAGGAGCTGCAAATGTGTTTAAAGCAGGTTATAAGAAACATCAAGGGCAAAGCATTGAGCGCCTCTTTGGTTAGAGGAAGCAGTTCAAGTTCTACAGCTTTGCCAACCATCTCTGTAAAGCAGGAGAGGAATGCGTGTGATGATGGATACAAGGCGAGTGGACATGAGAGAGAGGACCTTCATTCACCATTTGTCCCGTCTAAGGAATACAGAGATTGTCAGGAGAACTCTGTCCATAGGAGAAAGAATTCCTGGGAAGGGGAATGTAGAGACGCATCTAGAAGTTCAACATCTTGCACATCCACAGAAGGCCTCTTGATGAATATTAAAAAGGAACCCGATGACTTGGCAGCTCAGGAGTATACCTTCCCACAGAACTTTTTGGCAGCTAAAATAGGTGGGAAGGTTCAGGAAAATAGGAACTGTGATCTTGTGGCAGGGAAGTGCAATACGGATGATCAGTGCTTTAATTCAAATGCCCAGCATTTGGATTTGAGGAAAGGCAGAGAACTAGAAATCAAACGTGAAGCAGAACCCGGAGAACCACCATGTCTGTCTGCTCAAACTCATCTTGATTCTTGCAATTCCTTGAAGATGAAAAGTATGCAGGAGACAAATGTAAACAGTGTGTTCCAGTGCAGACTGGTCCCCAATAAACAGGTGTCCAAAGAAGCACTACTAGATTGCTCTAACTCTTCTAGAAATGAGCCTGGTGTGCAGGGGAAGGAAGATGACAGTACTTTGCATTTAGGGCATAATGACACCTCACTGAAAAAGATACCAACAGAAGAAAAATCAGGTTCATTGTTGTCTTTCTTTAGGARAAACGCTAACATGCAAACTTCAAACCAGGAGCAGACTAATTTAAATGATTTGGATAAATATGACTGCAAAAATCAAATTCCGGACRCCTTTTGTAGGGATAAAATTTCAGCATGTGGTTATTTTCCATTTAGCTCTGAAAACAAGAGGGATACAATCAGRCCACTGTCAGTGAAGCGTGAATCAAGTGACAGGTTGTTTGAGTTTTCAGAATATTTCAAGAGGGAAAACAGTTCAGTRGGGAAGAAGGAGGAGGATTTTGTGAAAACGGTTTCTGAAGATGATACTTTATCTGACTCCCAGGTTGATAGAGATCTCAGTAAATTATCTTTAGCTGCTTATGCCAAAAGTGTCAATTTTTCTCTTGCRTCCAGCCAGGAAAGCTCAGTGCACCCCAATGTGTCTGATGTTAAAAGGAAAGTGAAAGGTACTGTAAGATCTTCTGAGGGCCAAAGTACCAGGTATCCCTGTGGTGCAGATCGCCTAAGCAATCAAGTAATTGTAATTTCAGACTCTTCTGATGAGGAAAAAAGTGTGCCTGAGAAGGAGGAAACAAAAACCAAGAATGAAAATATGTGTGCAGAGCAGTCTTCAACTTCCAGCAGCATTTCTGATAGTGGCACTAAAACAGAATCTAAGTCTCCAGACTCTCCTGTGTTACTGGATGACTGTGATTCTCAGTACTTTGAATTTGAAACAGAAGCTGAGGTTTTTTCGGCTTGGCAGGATACTCAAGCGTATGCTATGGAAGCAACCCAGGAGTATAAACAAGATAATGTTTCACCAGCAGATGAGAGAAGTAATTCAGATGACTTCCTGGAAGACAATTTAAATTATTTGGGTTATGATCTGGATTATTTAAGTGATGACGCAATGGATGAAGCAGAAAGCTCCACGGAAAAGCAGACGGAAGATGCTTCTCATCAGAAAAATGCTGATGAAACAAAAGAAGCGACTAATTCAGCATTGCAGGAGTCAGTTAGCAAGGAAGATGCAAAAGGACTGGAGAAATGTGCAGACAAAGGTACTGCTAAAGGCTTCACCCCGGACTCAAAATTGCCTGAAGCCAGAACATCTACATCTCCCATCACCCTGGACTCAAAACTGCCTGAGCCCAGAACATCTACCTCTCCCATATCATTAGCTTCAAAGTTGGCCCTTAAGAAAAACAGCACAAGCCCACGGAAGACCACAGCAAAATGTAAATCAGCACCRGCTGTTCAGAGAAGTCCTAAAAAGCCTCCTGTTGTTAAAACAGCCAAATATAAAACTCCTCTTCAAAGCATGGCAGAACGTTCTCAGCCTGGCAGGTCAATGCCTGCTGTGGTTCCTCCAAGGAAAGTTCGGCAGAGTCCTGCTCCAACATCAACTGCAGAAAAGCTGGGCCTGAAGAAAGGCCCCCGCAAAGCGTTCGATTTGTCCCAGCCCTCCCTGGAGAGCCTGGCTCAGCTGCGCAGCCATGGCAAAGCTGCAGGCAGAATTGGAGTGACACAGAAAAAGAGGACCAAACTCACTGAGGCCCAGCGTTTGTCTGTAAAACATCATAAAAAACTGCTCATCTGCCAAGAGCGTTCGTATTCAAGGCAGATAAGGCCCAAAAGTAGTGTGAAAAATTCTGCAGGAAGTTCAGAGATCAGAAACAAAGTTACCAAAGCCTGCACAAAACCTATGGAGCAAAAGCCTCAAAGTTTTGAATTGGCATCTATTAAAGAATCTGTWGAGAATCAAAGGGAGAAAAAAAGAGAAGACACTGTTTGTCCCTCTGCCAGTGAGAGAAAATTGGAGAAGCTCTCTGTGGAGGAAGTGGCAAGTGCCTCTAAAATGCCTCTCTCTTCAGAATGGAACAGAARATGGGAGGATACCAGTGTGGTGGTTCCTTCTGTCCCTATGGATTCAATCTCTTYCACAGCACTTGGAGATAATAAAGATGCGTCTTCAGGAAAAGATTGCMCTGCCCTGCCTGAGTGTGAGATGAAAAGTTCAAAACAAAATGGGTGTAAATTCGATGAAAACAGTGATGAAGATGATGATAATCTGTTTTTAACTCAGTTAGACCCTGTGGATATGGAGTTATGTTCTCAGGAGGAAAGTATTCAAAATGATGCTACAGGTAGTAAGAACCCAGAGGAAATGGATGTTGGTGAAAGCCTTCAGCAGAATGAGCCCTCAGCTGTTGTGAAATGTCAGTACAAAGACTGTATGGAAAAGGTGGGAAAACCTGGAGAACACTGCAGTAAACATACAGCCACYAGCTCAGGGGCAGATCACGTGTTTGCCAAGCCTTCTCTTCCRCCACCYAAARTAAGAAAACCTTCCACCACCAAAATTTTCAGCACARCAAGTTCTTCACGGAACGCMGCCTTCAGCAGAGATCTSGAAGATGTTCGGAAGTTACCTCCACCTTCAAAAAGCAAAGTGAATGCAGCCAAACCAGTGCTGGTCAGGCCACCACCACATCCAAGGACTGCACCAGTAGGAAATCCAACGTGCAAATCTACAAGTGTCAGTAAGGTCCCTCAACCCCTTAGTTCCAGTAATGTTCTCCAGCCACAAAACAGATACTATGACAATATTTCAAATATTTCCAGAGGGCCAGGCCGAGAAACCTACTCATCCTTTCTTGGYGCTCAGCAGCGTGATTACAGCATTTTTGTTAATCAAGTCCTAAAGTGGACTTACGAAATGTTTGCAAACTTTGTCTACTTTGGAACTCCAAATAATCTTCTGCAGTCCATAGTAGCCTCTGTTCCCGTCCAATTTCAGGGCTACAATGACTATTTTAATACCTTTTTCCCCTTGATGATGCTCAACGCCTTTGAAACAGTAAGTAGCTTTCTGCCTTTTGTTTTGGTTCCATCAACACTAATAAATGTTACCCAGTGATTAAAATCTAGTTTATGTCCTCTATTTACCTTGGAAAATGTTCAGATACGGGTCAGAATAGAGGAATGATTTAGGGTAAATAAATAATCCAGTTATATTTAAGACTGGGGACTTCCAGAGTTACCTCAGGGAAGTGTTTCTTTTTTGCTGGTTGTCACATCCACAATAAAAAGAGTGATAAAGGATGTGGTTCCTCTTTCTATAGCATATAAAGCTCAAAACAGAAGTCTTTAAGAAACTGAGGTCTTTCAGTTATGGAGGACAAAGACCTAATGTTTTGGTTTCTGTTGAGAACTGAAATGAGAGAGTAGGTTAATCCAGGAAGTATTTTTTTTCCAATCTGTTGGTTTATAACTCAGTAGTGACAAAACAGTGTTCCTTCAATTAATGTCTGAATGCTTTTAAGTTCAGTCATTGCATCATTTCTTCCATAGAAATAAGATAGAAAATAAAGTCAATGCCAGGTTAATTTTAAGATGAAAATGCAGTCAGGGAAAACCCTGAGTAGTGAAGAGCTTTAAGTAAACACATGAAATGGGTGAGTGGCAAGAAAGAACTTTTGTTTGCCCTGTGTGTTTATATATAATGGGGATGCTTATGTGAAAGAAAAGAAATGGGTAAGACCAGATATATTTACATGACAGTCTCAWAGCTTTCTTTTATTTCTTTTATTTGCCCTTTGAGTCATGATATGCTACACCCTTCAAAGTATTATTGTTTCCTTTTCAACATGTAGCTGGCACAAGAATGGGTAGAAAACCAGAAAGTAAGAGAGAAAAGTTACTGCTTCTACTTACAGAACTTTTCTGCTGATATGAATACAGCACATTTTACAGGTGAGGGTGGTTTTTTAATAAAATCTTCTGATTTTCAAGTAGATGATGCCTTATTATGAGCTGGCACTTACAGGTAGAGATTTTTGGTTTTGCTTTAAATAGAGAAAATATTTGACTTTTCTATTCCTTGCTAGAATGCATGTAAGAGAAATCTGTATTTTGCAGGGAATCTGCCTTTCATACCTCTCATCTGTGATTTTTTTTTCCAACTTGTTTTGATAAAGTAGTTCTTGATTTGCTCTGTTTTTATACARTGCTGTGCTCAGGTTTGGAAATGCAGGATGGAGTTAAAATTTTTGCAATAATCTCTTTTTAATGCTCTAATTTTAATTTTTCTTTTGGGTAGCTCATTTACGAGASAGTGATTTGGCAAGGCAACTTCATCCAAAGGAGGATGACTTAATCCTTTTGGTGGTCCACAAGGAGAAAGACACCTTTGGGGAAGAAAGTGGGACAGAGAACCACATAGTAAATCATGTTGGCCTCGTGACACGATTTTCTCGTGCATCTGGCTATCCAAATAGTGAGTAACTGAGCTAGAAATGAAAATGGGATCCTTCTCATTGCCATGAAATGCTTCTTCGTAGTTGGTTGTTGGTGGTTGTAATCCACCACTTGTTGTTTTTTCTCTGTAGAAGCTTTATAAAAAGTCAGGAGCTGAAGCTGCAGTTCTGCTTTCCATCCTTTTTCTAGAGATGGGAACATTCCATCAATGCAAACATTAATACTTTRTGTAAAACCAGAAACTAGTGATGAGTAAGTGCTCTGTACACATCTTTAGGATGGTGGGATGGTGTTGCCATGAGATACAAAGCACTATGAACTTCAGTGATCTCACTGACTAAAATTGTCACTGTCTTTGGGAATTCTAACTGTGAATTACCAGGATTATCAAGTACCCAGTACCTGCTTCATTGAAATAGTGATCTGAGTAGTTGTACAGAGCACTGGATTTGTTTTTATTTTGTCTCTTTTTGGGGAGGGATGGGGAAATACTGGAATTTTGCAAGAATTTGTTGTTGATTGCCTGGTAGAAGACAGCATCTTGTTCTGGTGAATTCATTGGGGTGATTTACTGGGGTATCTTCCAGTTAATGATTTGRACAGTCTTTGAATTAACAACTTGGTTTCTTCTTCTTCTCTAACAGGACAAAAGGAGCAGCAAACTGCCTGTCATCTTACTGTGCAAACCCGAGGCAATTTGTCATTCTTCATCCACAAGCAAGTGAAGTGTGTAGTGGTTGGCTCCCTGGTGACCACACACAGAGAGTTTAAAGGTCTTCTGCTGCTGAGCAGAAGCCCCCTGGCTAAACCCATCATAAATCCAAGTTACAATGACTTCTGCCCCAGAGACCTGCCTGTAACCTCAGGAAGCGCTGTAAGTCTGGGAGTGCCAGGGGTAACAAAGCAGGCATTTGGGCAGGGCTGGTTTTTCATGCTGGTTTTTGAGACGACCAAGGGCAAACAGCCAAGTTTCAAAACCAGTGAGATGCTGGCTTATGAGGTGGGGTGAGGAGTGTGAGCTTTTTCTGGTCTTTGTACTGTATTGGCATAGTGCCCTTAAAAATGCTTTCAGTTTTCTTCCCCCTTACTGGGGAAGTGTTTGGGAAAYAAGATATGGAAAAGGTGATGTAAAATGAAGGTGTGGAGAGTGAACAAAACTTCTGTTACAACTTTCAAGTGAGGATTGGATGTGCAGCTAGAGCAAACGTAGAATCAAAAGCTTCCCTGCCCTTCCAGCTTTTCAGTTCTAGCCAGAGGGGTGAGGCCATTCTGAAAGTGGAGAGAATTGATGTGGAAGGTGCAATCAACAATAATTCATTTTTTTTTCCTGTCTATTTCTTCAGGYTTCATATATGAATGAATACAATGAAGATCAAAAGAGAGCCATTGAGACAGCTTATGCCATGCTAAAGCAGCACCCAGGGCTTCCCAAGATCTGCCTTATCCATGGACCACCTGGGACAGGGAAATCAAAAACTATTGTAGGACTTCTGTCCCGTGTTTTGAGAGAAGTAAGTGAACGTGATGGGATGGTCATGTGCTTGGGTTTGGTTTAGATGAATGTACTGTCTGCCTTCTCAATCTCAAATGAAAAACAATCTAAAGAGCTTGTTTTGGTTTGTTGTTAATTAATCTACAGAACACCAGGAATGAGAAAACAGCTTGGAAAAGAAATTCCAAGATTAAGCCAAACCGTTTTCTAGTTTGTGCGCCATCAAACGCTGCTGTTGAYGAACTCATGAAAAAGATCATCGTTGCATTTAAGGAAAAATGTCAGAACAAACAGGAGCCTTTGGGTATGATTTATTTTTAAATTGTGTTTTAATGTTGAATAGGCAAAACCTGGAGGAGGAAGTGAAGCAGTGGATTATGTACTGTACTTACACGCTCCTCTGAGCACCTTATTCATCTTGCARAACATGACTGGTGCTTTTCTGAAAGGTGTATTGTGTTTTTTTTTTTTAATAAATTGCCTTTGTTTTATATAGACATTGACCCTTTGCCCATGCTGTTAGTTTAAGCTCACCAGTTTTTAAATACTCCTTGAGGATTTGAACACAAGTTTCTTGCCTTTATTTTCAATAAAATTGGACTTTGTAGGTCATGGGAGGCAGACTGGTGAAATTTTTGATGTGTCAGAGTCTCTCATTTTTCCTCCTCCCAGTTTGTGCTAAGGCAAAGTAAATAAAATCTGCACAAGRCATCTAGTTAGTGACAAGGGGAAAAATACCTGCATTGTAACCAAATGGTAATTTGGTATTTACTTATCTACTGCACTACTTGATGGGACTCAGTGATTGTCCAAGTTAGGAATTCTGGAAGTTTTAGATCAACCTGAGAATAAGAGGTAGTTCTCTTAGTTCAAAATAACATTCTTGGTGTTAGCCACCCTTAAAACGTGGGTGGCATCTTTATTTTTTAGAGTTTGGRATTACTGAATTTTTTTGTAAGTGTATTTAGAAAAGTYRATMRTTGAATACCCCAGATAARTAGATCTATGTTCACGATGCTGACRTTTTTTGAACTCTCAYACYAAAATGCAGCARCASTTGGAGCAATCTAAAAGTATTTTGACTTTGATTTTATAAACAGGAAATTGTGGTGATATCAAATTAGTGCGACTTGGTGCTGAAAAATCAATCAACAATGAAGTCCGGGCGTTCAGCCTTGATAAGCAAGTTGAACACAGAATGAGTRAGTAACACAGAAATCAGACTTTTCTTCAGTTTTCTGTAAGAGCTTGGTAAGGTTTTCCACATAGGATTATGTGTCCTACGAGAAGGAAGATTTTTCTACAATAGTATTTCATAAAGCATTGTTTTTCTGAGTGGCAGTTTATGTATGAGCCAAAACATAAGGAAAAGGAAAGAAATAAGCAAGGTGACTTCTTATTTATGTTTTTTTTTTTTAAGTAATTATATTACATACATGTTGAAGCCATCATTTTTAAGTAATCCAGCATTTGAGAGATACATTTTGAAGCAAATCTGAGTGAGTTCATTGTACAAGATAAAACCTCAACAGAAAATGCAACAAAAAAAGAATGTGTCTGATTGCCCTTAAACCCCTTGGTTCTACAACTACGAGCAAGAGTTATTTATGACAGTTTTTCTATTCCTGCTGTATGTTCTGCTTTGCTTTATTACAGAACGAAAGCCAGGTGACTGTGACCAGGATATTCAGAAGAAGAAAGAAGCCCTGGATCAGAAGCTGGACATGCTGTCTCGAGAGCGTGCCATGCACAGATGTGAAAAGAGAGAGGTAACAAGGCAATTTTTAACCYTACCTGTGTTTTTCTGTTCATAACACRAAAAGAACTCTGTTTTTTGATGTCRCCTCTGAGCAGAACTGTCACTTCACCTACTTTTTTCAGCTAATAGAAAAGTTGGTAGCACCATGGAATGCAATGAAGAATTTTACATCAGGATTTTTTTGTTTATTTATGCCAGTATTTTCCTGATCATGCCACTTGTTGCTCTAGTGTCCAGTAGTCTTCATTTGGTTCTGTCACCAGTTGGATTTTAATGTAACCATATTTATAAATCTTTATGGTTTAATTTGATGGTATGTTTCAAAGCTCTGTTCTTGTTTCACTGGAAATCATAAGATACCTCATGATCTGAGATGTTGGAGTATGTGTTGCACTTGAAGTTTTTTTTTGTCTGAAAATTTGGCATTTGTGCTCAAATGAGAGATTTCTGGTGGTAAACCATCTCCCAGTTGAACAGAAATGTAAGATCTGGTATTGCATGTTGCAGAGCCTAAATAAGTTGGCAGCTTTYCAATAAACTGATCAGCTTCTTCAGACACATTTGATATTAAAAGACAGTCTGAACAAGTCTAAATGTTTAGGAAATTAATTAGGGTATGAGAGGAAAGAAGATATATAAGAAATTAGTAGTGTTAAAGGTGGTTTCTCTTTAATTTTTTTCTCCATCCAGAGTCAAATGTTAAATGATGAAATTAGCAGACTTGCAAAGGAGAGACAACAGCTGGCTTCTCAGCTAAAGGAGGTAGGAGAATTTATCTCTAATAAACTTTAGCTGATGTATTTTTGTACTTTGTGTCCTTTATTGTGGTGAAACTTGCTTTTGGTGTAGCTGGGAGCATTTATAAAGTATAAGGTAAATAGATAAAGGCCATAAGTTATGGACAGGCAGCTGTGAAATCTGGGTGTACTGTGGCTGCATATTGGGAAAAAACCCAAACAGAAATATTCATTATTGCACTTAAGGCTGAATTTTAACCAGGGTGTCCTGTTGTGCTTGAAGGTTCGGGGGCACTCCCAGAAAGTGCAGGCAGACATCATCCTGGAGTCTGACATCATCTGCTGCACGCTGAGCACCAGCGGGGGGAGCCTGCTGGAATCGGTTTTCTCCCGGCAGGGGCTCGATCCCTTCAGCTGTGTCATCGTGGATGAGGTCAGTGAAGCTGTTGGGAGCTGCAGCCTCTTCCACCTCCACGCCTGGCCTGTGCTCTGCTCAGGCAGCCTGGGGCTGATGGCTGCTGCTGGAATATTTGGGAGTTGCCTGCCCTCTGTCCTCAGTACAAGCACGAAGAGAAAGAGTAACTTGTGATTGATTCTTCTCCTGACTTTTTTGGTGCTATAATTCCAGACAGCTTTTATTTAGAACCACGCTTTAGCCGTGATTTTTTGCTGTTGAGATCTCCAGATGGTTTGGTTATATTTATATCTATTTGGAGAGCTCTGTATATATAATAATAAAATAAATCTTGGTAGTTTTTTTACTAGAGAAAAGTACTTTTTCCTCTTGTTGTAAAAAYCTTTTTTAGAAGATTTAAAGCACTGAGTTTTTCTGGCTGTGTTACAGGAAATCTAACAACTTCCTCCTTTGCTTACAACTTCTCCATTTGTCCTGTTTGCATATCCAAAAGGCAGGGCAGTCCTGTGAGGTTGAAACACTGATTCCACTGATCCATCGCTGCAATAAACTTGTCCTTGTTGGAGATCCCAAACAGCTCCCTCCKACTGTCAAATCAGTAGTAAGTGTTCAAGCTCTKTTTTTTCTTGACATAGAGTGGACATAGTTAAAGAACAGTATCTGTGTAAAGTATTTAAAGTGGGGGAAAKATAYGTTTCAGTGGGTCAATATAAACTTWRAGYTGGGCAGGATGTTGTTTTGAGGCARGCTCTGTTTTCTSATTTTGGGAGCCTCAGTCAGTGTCAGATTCCTAAAGGAAYGGAGGATGAATACTTCCTGACCCTACAGATGTGTTCTAAGGATGAACATATAGGAGCACTTCCTCTTATCCAATAGTAAGGACAGATTTAAACACCTGATAAAGAAAGGAGGAAGCAGACTGGTGTCTTTAGAGGCTAAATTGTCTAGAGGTTGTTTTGTTTAACAAGATTCCCCCAGAAAGGCTTGCTKATGTTCTTAAAATGTTACGGTATTGTGACTCAAAAAGGGAAGTTGTCTTGCTAGAGACTACACATGAAAATTCAGATTTGTGCAGGTGGCCTTTACTGAAATAATAAGGGAAACTGAAGAGTGAGTAGCTGTCACTTTGTGAGCGATTTAGGAAGCTTAAAACACCAAATAGTTTGACTTTTGGGGGAAATATGTCCCGAATGAAATGTCCTGTTCTCCCTGTGCAGAAAGCTCAGCAGTATGGCTACGACCAGTCCTTGATGGCCCGTCTGCAGAGGCACCTGGAGGAGCAAGTGCAGAGGAACRTTCTGCACAGCCTGCCCGTGGTGCAGCTGACCGTGCAGTACAGGATGCACCCAGACATCTGCCTCTTCCCATCCAACTATGTTTATGGCAGGACCCTAAAGACTGCCAAGTGAGTGGCTCTCTGGTCTTCTTTCTGAGCAGGGGGTATTTCAAAGCAACCTTTGAAATGACAGGGAATCCTAAAGTCCAAAATGCTTGAGGTTGTGGAAGGGGGAAATGTGCATTCCATTTCTGTTAGTGCTGGGTGTGCTAGGTTTGGTAACTAGATCCCTTAAAATTGAGCATGCAGAGTGCTCAGAGTTCATTTTCTGGCATCAATCTGTTTAAGTAGCAGAGAAAATTAAGGACTCTGGGGAAGAAATGAGATGAAAATCATAATGATAGAGTGATTAAGGTTGGAAAGGACCTGTAAGATCAAGCTCGAGTGTCAGCCATTTCCACCATTAAACCATGTCCTCATATGCCATATGCACATGATTTTTGAACACTTCAGAATGGTGATTCTCACTTCCCTGGATAGTCTGTTCCAATGCTTTACGACCCCTTCTATGAAAAGAATTTCCTTACTCTAATGCAAACTTTCTTTGGCACAATTTGAGGTCAGTTCCTCTTGTTCTGGAGTTTGATAACCATGATATAAATAAACAAAGCACCAGTTCTTAGAATTTCTTAGTTGTATGGTTGCCTCATAATAAAAATATCATTTACAGAGCAATAGAAGAGAACAGATGTTCTTCAGAGTGGCCATTCCAGCCCTACCTCATTTTTGATGTAGCTGATGGTCGTGAGGAGCGAGACCACGAGTAAGTCCTGCATTCTACTCAGCCAAAATTTAGATTTTCTGAGAATTAATTGCCTACAGAAGAGTTGTCTTCTCCCCTATGTTGTTCCAGTATGCATCAAGTAGCTAGAACTGCATTTTCCACCTGATGTGATTTAATTTTACAAAAATCAGAGGTTGAATACTTTGGGCATTTTTTAAAATTTGAAACTGGTTTTAATCCTGTTTTGACCATGTTAGATGCTAGTAAATGCCTRCAATCTCTGTAGTAAGAGTTTGAGTTGCTGATTTTCTCAGTGACTTCCCTTTCCCAGCTGCACAGTGAGGAGATGCCAGGAGGTGGCAGGCTCAGTCCTCCCCTTTGCCTGTTCTGTAAGGAAAGCACAGCTGCGAGGTGCTGAAGGAACATGGAAGTGCAGCCTTTCAGCCTGCTATTGCCAGGCTTGGTAGCCCCTCATCAAGATCTACTTGCCAAGTTCTTTGAGCCTCGTGTGAAAGAGGCTGCAGATGTTCAAAATAGGGGCTGTGACACTCAATCCCCCAACAAAYTGGGCCAAAGCATTGAATTGGAAAYATCTCTCAAAGGTGGTGTTCCTGTAATGTTTCCATTTTGTCCTGTGCAGCTCTTACAGTAATCCTCGGGAAGTGAAGCTGGTGATGGAGTTAATAAGAACAATTAAAGAAAAAAGGAACGATCTGGGCCTTCGTCGCATTGGAATAATCACCCCTTACAGTGCACAGAAAAAGAGAATTCAGGGACAGCTGGACAGTGTGTTTAAGAATAACAGGTAAAGAAAACACCAGCTTTCAAGTGGGACCTGGATCTTGCATATCARTCATTTGTTTATCCTCTTAAAGTAGTTGCAAAAACTCAAACTTTTTTCTGTACTAAAATTTGTACTTCTTTGTGCCTTTAAAGGGGACGTGCAGCCCTCATGATTAAAACAGGCATGGTCTCCTTGTGCCATTTCTTAGTTACTAGCTGTACACATATTTTGATTGTAGTGCTGTTCTTAATAAAGCTGACTAAAAAGAACCTAAAAGTCCAAGCTGTGTGGACCCAAACAGCTTTTCAGCAATGATGCTGATCTCAGAAAGGTAAATTCAGCGTTAGGCTCATACACCAAAGGAGAAATTTACCCTCGGTGGGTTTGACACACGAGCATTAAGGATAGTGTTTAGGCCCTTTGCATCAATGTGTTGCTTAAAAATTCAGCTAAAAATGAGCAGAATTATCAAGCTGTTACATTTCTTCAACAGCCCAGGAGAAGTGGACACAGTGGATGCATTCCAGGGACGGGAGAAGGATTGCATCATTGTGTCCTGTGTCCGGGCAAACAGCTCCGAAGGCTCCACTGTGGCTTATGTCCAGGCAAACAGCTCCAAAGGATCCATTGGGTATGAGTCTTGCAGTGATTTGCAATCCCATTTCCAGGGACCTTGTAGAGAAAGTAATATTTTTAATAAGACTGGTTAGAAAGTTATAGAGAACAAGTCACTTCTGAATTAAAGGGTATCTCAGTGCAAGARTTGGGGTTCCTGGTCTGAGATCTCTGGGCAAGAGGGACAGGGAAATGCTGGTGGCATGCTCTGTATTATGTGCTGATCCTTTGCACAGCTCCCTTATCCTGACACTGCTTGGATTTGGCAGGATTGGCYTTGAGATCTTGGCTCTTTGCATTATTACTGCAGCACTTACTGTTCTTGTGGCTTTTGGTACACCTTGTAACTTTCTGAATGCTGTTCTCCAAATGAAACCCATTTTCKGTGGCTGTTGCTGTCCTGTAAATGTCTGTTAAAGTGTTGTTAACTAGTTGTGCATGTCGTTTGGAATGTGGTGTAGCAGACTTGGATCTGGGCTTTGTAGGTGAATGTGCTTGTCTTCTGAGCTGGGGAAAGATTAGCAGGAAGTCTTAACTCAGGGTTGCAGATTTGTTCATTTTATATGTTGTTCCTTTCTGTCAGAAACAGGAGGAACTCTTTATTTCTCAACACCTGGAGAACTCTCTGTATTGCTGGATCCACTCCCCTGTCTGCTTCCTGCTTTYCTTTTTTCCTTCACTGTCCAAATTTTTTGAGGTGACTGTGGTTTTTGCAGTCCTCACTGCAGGGTTGTGAATTTGCTGCAGATGAGGTCTCRGTGCAGTGACTATAGTGTCAGGCGTTGATAGTGAGCCTGCTCAAATGAAGTTGGACTTTAGAGTTGTGAATTTTGTTAGTGAAGAATAGGCTGTGTATTTTGGAAGCTTTTACATCAGAGAAGAAATAGTTCATATTAGTCTCACAAAGCTTTTTTTGTCTTTTGGTAAAATGAGTCCTAACAGAAATCAACCTTTAGGAATACACTCAGCATTGCTTAGGTTGCAGTACTTGGTTTGTGACCCCTCAAAACCAAAACCAGACAGTTTTCCTAGTGCAAAACCAGACTTCTGCAAGGATATACTCTCCCCTCTTGAAGCATGACAAAGCAAAAGTCTGCCTTGATATGCTTCCAGTGCAGGTCACCTTTAAAATAAAATATTCATGTACAGTGTTCAGTATTTCAGTAGGGTGTTTTCCCATTAATCATGCCAAATATTATTAATCTATTTCAGTTCAAGTCAAAAAGAAGCTTAAAGTCTTGATAGGTGAAGTGAGGTTGATGTCCTCAGTACTTTGAGGAACGTTTAAGGAAGCAGTGGTTGGCATTAAGAGGGGATTTGCTCTAAGAAAGGAAACATCAACGGCAAAAGCTGGAAAGAACTGGAATTCCCCGCAAGAAATCAGTGGTGAAAGAAAGAAAACACAGTTCATGCTCAGCCTTTCACGTAAGGCAGGGCTGCTGCCGCGGGGTCTGGGCATGGGAGGAACTGCTGCTGTTAATGTCAGTGACATTTAATTTTATCTCCTCCTCTCATAACCCTTAAACCTTGTGGAAGAAGCAGTTTAAGAGCTTAGTTTTTGTCTTGTCACTCAGGTTTCTGGCGAGCCTCCAGCGACTGAATGTCACCATCACCCGAGCCCGGTTCAGCCTCTTCATCCTGGGCCGGCTGCAGACTCTCATGGTAGGTGCAGTGTCAATGGAATGGGCTCTGAGAGCCACCCCTGAGGGCTGGGGGACCGAGCACCATCCCCAAACTGCTCCAAGGGAACAAATTTGATGTCCTCAGAGTCCCTGATTTTGTTCTTTCCCGGGGCGGGGGAGGTTGTGTCAGTGTGCCGGTAGAGGGCGCTAAAGCCCCGCGCCGGTGAGCGAAACCCCTGGAAATTGAGGAATTGTCTTTTTTGGAAGTTCTGATGGTTCAAAGTGCCTTCCCTGTGTTACAGCAGCCAGAGTGTCTGTTGCTGTTTTGCACCTGAAACATAAGATTCTTCCATTCCAGAAGGAACATAACAGTGGTTTCCATGACAGTTGTGTCAGGTACCTTGATTAAAAAGGTTGTGCATCCTCTGACACCTCTGTCCGTTTGTGTTGAATTCTTGCCGATAACAGGGGATTTCTTTTGTTTCTCTTTTTCTAAAGGAAGATAAAAACTGGAATCACTTGATTCAGGATGCTCAGAAAAGAGGGGCCATTATCAGGACAACAGAAAAAAATTACAAGAAAGAGGCTCTGAGGATTTTGAAGCTCAGGCCACCAGGACAGCCCCCAGCCAAAGGAGGGACGATGACATCTCCTGCAGTGCAGGCTGCTKCTTCCAGTGGCAAGAGGGTTGAGCCTGGAAATCCTGGGAACAGCCCACGGGAATGTACTGTTGGCCCTGGCCATGCAGTGCCCCAAGCAAGCCGAGAGCCTGCACAGCCTCCAGGGGCTCCAGCTGCAGATTCCAGAAGGGGCAATGTCCCTGTGCCTGTGGGAGCTCCAGCTGCAGATTCCAGAA